CCGAGAGCTATGTTTTGATCAATGGGGACTACAATTGAGATTTTTCTTTAGTATCAGGCTACTTGGCCTCAAGCAACTGCTAACTGTGGAAGAAATACAATTGTGCAGAGAATCTGAGAAGGCAAACACCTGAAAACTCGCCTTTCTTTCTGTCCTCAGAAGTCCAGATGACTGAAATTGAACGATACGTATTAAAAATACAAGAGCTAAAGGAAGATGTTATTTTCGCTGCATTTTTCAAAGCAAGCAAAAATACATCAAAAGATCAGTACAGTGGAGAAACATGCAAGAATATGATTTCAATTAAACTTTCTTTCATTGTGGCCTATTTGATTTTAAAAATCAAAATGCCTAATCATAATCTACAATGTGGCGAATATGCTTCTACTGAAGTGTTTGTCAGATGGTTGAATAGCCCTCCCACACACCTTTTCAACATTGGATTGGGGGGGAGGGGGCAATCCTACATTCACATCAGAGATTGGCCAGCTGAGTGGAGGTGAGAAAGGAGCCAGGGACCGGTTTCAGAAAATACCTTAAGTTAAGATTTTTCTTAAGTCCTAAAGTTTTAACAGTCATCACAAGTGCTAATTCCAGCAAATCAACGGTCTCCATGGAAACAATAGAATTTTTCCGCTGTAAAATCTCTTTCACTGCTGCAAATGCCTCAGTTTTTTTCCTTATGTTACAACCTGTATATGTTTTGGAATGAGGGAAGCAACATTTTGCCGATGTTGTCAGGCAAGTTCTGCCTTTTATTGCACAGCGACCAAAACAGTTTACAAACACAAAACAAAAGGAATCACATGAGGCGAAGGACAAAGGGAGAAGGCTGCAAGTGGCGCCAAATCATAAAACAAACAAAACAAACCCCGCTTCCTAACCCGACCAATCCCCATTACTACAGCAGAAAACAAACAAAAGTAAAAAGCCTACCTACAATCTTATCTGTCAAAACAAAAAAAAAAACATTCTAGCAGCCACCAATAAATCCTCGTGTTGCTAGACAGGAAAATAAACAAGTTAAATTAAACCCTAGTGCCCATGACCCCCGTGTCAACGACCTGGTGCCTCAAACGAGTCAACATCAATTAACAACCACAATAACCAAAGTTAACTTGGCCAGGCAGGCTTGTGACAGGCGGCTGGGACCAGCTTCACAACAGGGGAGGGACCAGCCGAAAACGAGGAACACCGGGGGCACAGACACAGAGGAGCGGTGCAGAGGCGTTGACAAGGAGGGAATCCACTTCCGGAGCAGCGGTATGACAGGTGGACCCGACCTTAATTGAAAAAGGAAAGACTGCACCGTACAACATAACATAACAACAGCAAGAGCTGTAACCGGAGCCCATAACAGCTTAATTAAGGAAAACTTTTGAGAGATTCTGAGTAACTCCATCAGCTAAGGAGAAATTAAACCTTAAGCGTCAAACATTTGAGGTGTTTTGTGCAACCGGCTCCAGGGTCTGAACTAATCTCCCTATCTGTTTTGTATTTTTCCTCATTGCTGATGAAATTGTCACTTTTCACGTGAACAACCAAGTGCGACGCTGTGAATACCCTTCACAGAGAGATTGTCTGAAAATATGTGCCCCCATATTTAACCTATATCACGTCTCCCCCCTTTCACTCAAGAGTGGCCGTAAACACGTTGTACGGAGTTATTCTCATGCCTGTTTGCATGGCCTCCCTGTGGAGAACATGAGCCTGGTGTTTGTGTGGGTTTCCCCCCACCGAATCACTGAAGATCCATATGAGGTGGATCTGAGGCGTTCAATTGCTGACATACATGAATGTGACAGTACTAGCGCTCTGATGGACAGTTTTCCAATCCATGAGCAGGTTCCCATGGGAGTCAGTCTGCTGCACAATATGAAGTATCACCGGAATAGGCTCCAAAGTCACATGACCTTGAGTGGAAGAAAAATCACATAAATAAATGAAGCCTGTTGCTAAACGCATTGTGAATGTCTTGCACATCACAAACAAATGTTAAACCAGAAGAGGCAATGTCAACAACCGACCCCACGCTGGTTCTAATTTGTCAAAGTGAAGCATCAGTCGCCTGATGCCACTGTGTTGTGTGATATAGATCACACTAATGGCTGTTCATTCTTTTCCGAAGACAAACAAGAGTGAGTCTGTTTTCTGAATAATGTCCTGATTTTTAAGTTCCTCTTACAGTTACATATATGTGTATGTATGTAACTAAAATGTCTAAAAATGACTAGACCCATGTTATATATTTTTGACTTGTATTGTTACATTATCCCAAATTCTCAAACCTAGAGAAATCTGTGATTTTAATCATGGTAACAATCCGTTTCATTTGGTCGCCTGTCAATTACATCATCACCACATCACCTATTGTGGTTGCCAGAAGCTCAAAATTGAGTCACATTTTTAAGATACACTTTTTACACTTTGGTTGTTTTCAACTATATATTTTAACCAGAAAAAGGATTTTAGTCATTGGACGTCTGGATCTTAAGTTATCAGAGAAAAAAGCCAAGCAAATGTTAAGCAGCTCAGCTCCCAGCCCCTCTAAGATGTCCTGTCTCTGCTTAAGCGCATTGGTTAATGCTTTACTCTGTGTTTCTACCCATTTTAATCCCCTGGTAGTTTGTTATGGAGATGAAGACACCTCTGCAGATGATTTGGCTGCTGGTAAAAATCTCCCGAATGTCTGTTTCGTCTTGTGTCTGCAATACAATGTCGGCGAAACGCTGACTTTAAATGTGAAACTCCTTTTTACTGTGTTTTTACCAGTTATGGGTCTGTTTGATTTGGAGAGGAGGAGACCTCTGTAGATAATTTGGTTTCCAGTAAAAACCTCCTGAATGACTGACACTGAAGGAATCCAAACCGGGAGAAGCTGATGACAAAGGTGACGAAGACAACAGCTCCCATGATCCTACGCTACTTCACGACGTCACCAAATGCTGTCTTTTGTTCTTGTTTTGATTGAGAGACCCCGAGAGGCAGAAGTTATATACTTTGCATTTAAATTCATCCACATCTTGACAAAAAGATTTCCGTCCTTTCTATATTGTGAACACAGTCCAAAAGTTTCTTGTGCTGTTGAACTGATATTCCATAATTAGAGTTTATAAGGATATGCAAATGAAATGCTTTTTGATATCTTGATTATGCCTATATACATTTGTGTACATCACATCTGTGCCAGGAGACTGCATAGGTGTTATGGTCACATTTCCCTGACTGTGCCTGACATGAGACATGAAAAATGTTTCTTTTTTTTCTTTTTTTTTTTGAAATTCTTGTCACCTTTAAAAGTTTTAGTCGATTATCATATCCTCTTGCCAACATGGAAAAGCATTTTATGCCACTAGGTCTATCTTAGAAATTTTTACATGTGGCTAAATCAGTTTGAGCTCAAAGTGCCTCCATGATGCTTTGTAATACAGGATATGCTTCTTTTTCTATCTTGGAACACAGGCTCTGATGATATGACATGGATCTATTCTGAAGTTACATGCCTTTTAGTGAGTGGTGGTGTTCATTGCCATGGCAACCCTTTGGCCAGCCAGTGGGAATCAGTTTTTCCCTTGCCCCATGACCAACCTTTGATAAGGTATGATAGCCCCAGTGCAGGTTATGTCGGCTCGATCTACTTGGAAGAAAGATGATTCTGAGATTCTACCTGGGAGGAAGTGTAATCTAAACACACACACTCATGTCTGAAGATGATAGATGAAGCCTTCCTCCAAAAAGAAGCACTTACCTCTTGTATGAAGGAAAAGGGTTTACAGCAAGGCAAAGACTGTAGCTTTATGTTGAGGCCCAGTTATTTTGGTCAGGCTGGACCAAAATAACTGGGGTTGTAGAGACATTCAGACTATTTTATCCATTCCTTCTTGTCTGCTATCATATGTATCATGCCTTGAGCAGGTATTTGAACCCTAATGTTACTCTACACTGTCTTTCATAATACTTTTGGCTCTGTGTCAGGATATTACCCACTCCAGGGCAAAGCTGTAGATCTCTTTGATGGTGTGAATCCATTCTGAAATGATGCATTTCTCTGTTGGCTTTGACAAAAAAAAAAAAAAAACTTATTTGAAGTGAAGCTGTTCGGTGCTGCCTCATCAGATATCTTTAGATTTGTGATTGATTCCTTAGCCTGTGAGCCTATTCTGGGATGACGTGGTGAATGGGGAACAGTTAATTCTGAACTAATGCATTTCCACCTGCGTTTGAAGATGGAGGAGAGATGAAACTCTTTGAGGATAAAGGGAGAAATAATCTGCATTTGTACCAGCACTGATGCCTGTGCTGTGCAGACAGAGTGAGATGACTGAAGAATGTTATCTCTTCTCTCTGCTGGAGTTCCACTGGTCTCTTTGACCTCAACACACTCAGCACAGGTTATGTTTTACTCAAGGTGGCCCTGACACTGGGATGTCTCCTATCAATGCTACTATTATTAATATTAATATAACCTCTTACTAAATCCTTTGAAAATCTGGTACTGAGTGCATTTCGGTGCACTCTCTTCCTCTTTCAACATGAGAAAAAAGCCACAGAAGCACTGTCAAGGATTCTTTATTGTTTATTGTCAAGAAACATATAGGCTATATAAAGTCAGGATGTAATTTACCATGTATATAAATATATATTCAAATATTATATATTATTATTAATATTTAGACACTATTTAAATGTGCAGAGTTAAAATATAAACATGTGTTGCAAAAGTGGTGTGATATTTATCCATTAAAATTTATAAAATGATAAAAAAAATATAGCTATATATAATAAACTGTGTTGTTTTAAGGCGTGGAAAATATACTGTTGACACGTATTTTAATGTTATCTTATTTGCGCAAATCGCGTTCTATGTGGATGAAAACTTGCTGTACCTTTATCGTGCCAATGTGTGAGGTCACGTGTTTGACACGCTTTGTTGTTGTGACGTTACGGGCCACGTTCAAACTTGCGTCAGAAACTGCTTCCGTTGGTCACGTAAGGTAGGCTTCAGACATAAACAGTGCAAATTAGAGGCGAAAGCGAGGGTACAGTACCAGACAGGGCAGTGTGTAGCTCCAGAACTGTTTGTACACTAACCGCATGTTTCATCCAGGCCAACAGCTCGATTATTTTTTGGCCGTTTGTTCTTTTTTCTCCATGTTTTTTCGAGCAGGATGTCTTTCTAGAGTGGCATGGACCGGCTGTCGAAGGTCATTCCCGCTAGCTTGACTAGAAACATAGCTAGCTAGCTAGTTCACAAATCAACCACAGAAGTGTAAAGGGAAACCACTAATTTAAAATGTGCGTCAACAGCAGTAAATAATAAAACATTGCTGGAAATCATTATCGATTCAGAGAAGTTGAAAAAGTGCTAGTCCATTCACTGCCGCATGCTTACTAAACGCCAATTTTCATAATAATCTCGTATTATTCAAAGTTCAATCTATTTAAAAGTGCCTTGCTCATGGAGAGGCACACATTGCTCGTAGCCTTTATGTTTCAGTAGGGTCCTCTGGCAAATTCGGCATACATGTGATCCATCATTAGTACATGAATTCATAAAAGTTAACCTTTATACCTTTGGCATGCCTTTTACTTCCAATGTTGGCTAACGACACCCCCACCAAATGCTTTGCGCTTGTCGACAGCGAAGCAAGACGAAACATTTAAATTTAATTAAAACAAGTGCTGCGATGTGTATGAAATGTATACCGAATTTACCATAAGACACCTACGTTTCATTAAATACTTAGTGCCAGGTTGTACGAAATGTTATTCGTGTTCATTTTAACGTGCCGTCTTGATAGTGACGGATTTTTAATGGGGTTTGCCGTGCCGCTTACCCCCGTCAAATCTTAGCCAATTACCAGAGTAGGTGAAGAGCATGTGTACTACTTATCCTGGATTAACTAGCACATAAACCGTGCTGCTTTTGTAGACCAGGCGTTATAAGGAGTAAAATAAGGCAACTGAACACCGTAACTATGTACTTGTGTATTTTCAGACCAGCAGTCATCCTTAAATTAGATATAATTGTGATGCTAATTCAGTTCGTCTCTTCCTATGATATCGTCTCCCATCTAAGGTTATTGCACAAATAACCTGGACATTTTCTGTTAATTCTCGCTGTGTGTGTCATTTACTCCAGTAGACTCTAATGTACAGTAATGTAACAGTTAACTGAATGCTCTTAAGTACTGACTGTTCCAATATTGTGATTTCTCTTTTTTCAGAATGGGGAATTTCACATCCTCCACTACTGGGGGTCTGTCCAGCACAACCTGTGTACAGTATGTTCAGGTAAGTAGATACATACAGATCTCTTACCTGCAGTCAGCTTGTTGAATCCTTTGGTACAGTAGTGTGCTGTGAATCTCACTGCAACCTGGTTTTATCTGTCTGATAAATTTGGCATTAAAAACAATGACTTAAGTTACAGCTATTTCAGGAGACATGTCTACATATTTTGGTTTCCTGGTGGTTCCTACAGTTCACCGCCACTCCTTGGCTTCTTATTCAATCATACTGCTTGTCATCTTTTGTCAGTTTGTTCCAATATATTACTTCCATATTTCTGCATCTCTGAATCACAAATCTGTTAGGAAGTGGACCCAGAAGTAGCATCTGTAACTCTGTATGTGAACAAACATCAATTTTCAAAAGCTATGACAAACAAGCCCCTGAAATATACTGAATATAGCATGATGTGATTAGCAAGTCTACATTTATTATATGATGAAATTTGGGTTAAATTGTAATTGTAACTTAAAATGTATGATTTACAAAGTTGTTTGATTGTAGAAGATGAATGCATCGAGTTATCTTCCTCAGCCTCAGTTTAATCACTGTCTAAAGATCAACCATGGAATTATTTCATAAAAATGCAGTCAAGGTTCTTTTGTGTCTAGTGTGGTCTATTTCTGTGTTCTACTGATATTTAACAACATCTTACTTTGCCTGACTTTTCAGGAGGTGGTGTCACAGAACTGTGTTGTGATATTTTCCAAGACCACCTGTCCTTATTGCAAAATGGCCAAGAATGTATTCAACGAAATTGGCGCGACCTACAAAGTGGTTGAACTGGATGAACACAATGATGGGAGAAGACTGCAAGAGGCCTTAGCTCAGATGACTGGTGCCAGAACAGTAAGAACCTCATATCGTATTTTGGGATTGGAATTTCAAGGAACTTCACAGTATGCTATTTCAGCACATAATTTAAAAAAAAAAGAATCAAAACAGGGATATTTGACAGCTTGTTTGTTCTGGCAGTTCTGCCTTAAAGTTAAATTTAGGTTGACTTGTTGAGGTTTTTGTTAGGGCTGCAGCCAAAAATTAGGTATTTATCCTGACTCAAAATAGATGCAGCTGAATCAAGATGAAGAGCAAACCAAGTTGCATCTTTTCCCAGACTATAATCTTTAATATGTGAAAATATATAACATTTATTGAAAGTAAATTGAAAGTAATGACATTTTGAGTTTAATATATAAAATATCATATAGCACTCATTTTTGAGTATGAAATACTGAAGCTCTGAAAATATAGTGTATAATATACATATAATTACATGTTTGGAGAAAGGTCATGTGCACATAAGCAGTGTATAATATAGACTGAGCAACATTAACAGGGTTTGAAAGTTACAAAATGCAAAATGAGAGTTAAGAACTGACATTTTTAATGTGGTCTGCACATGCAAGACGCATTTCTGCTTCACTGTAAAGTCACTTTGTCCTTCCTCTGCTTCTTCCACAACTGTGAAAGTTGTCAATGAGTTTGACAAGTTAAAGTTAGATAATAAAAAATGTATTAACAGAAATTTGAAACATGTTAGTGAAAGTTGAAAAGAGTCAAAACAATATGGGAAACATCAGAGCCAAATAAATGCAATATAAAATATCAATTTAAAAATCCTTTTTTTAAGCTCCTCTGTTATGAAAAAACTTTTCAAAAACTCTTCCATAAGAGAATGTTTTAAGCTGTGACTCGCTCACACTGTGCTAATGTTATGACATGATTTGTGTATTCAGGTGCCGAGAGTCTTCATTAACGGAAACTGCATCGGGGGCGGCTCTGATACCAAACAGCTCCATCAGCAGGGAAAGTTGGTGCCCCTGATCGAACAGTGTGCTCCCTGCTGTGCTGCGTCCAGCTCCGAGGGTTCGGGCAGTGGACAGTTTGAGTCCGCTAAATGACTAACCGTTTTTGTAGTTTTTTTCAATCCTGTATTTATTAAATGTTCACTTGATCTTTTGCTTCAAGTTGTACATTGCTTGAGCATGATCATGTTATATATTTATCAAAGTGCATTAGATACTTGATGTTTAAGTCACATACGTTTTCATCCAGGAATGTACAGTGTTATTATTAAAGCTGCCATCTCTTAAACAAAACATGTGAATAGTTGAACTACTTCAAATACTTCTCTTCTGCATGGTTGTTTTATTTATCAATGATACAGTCATAAACAAGAATGATCTCTCTAAGCATTAAGTATCATCAAACACGTGAACATCATGAAGTGTTTATTCCTATTCTATTAATGGCATTTATATGCGTTAATTTTTCATATCTTGTAACACTGAAATAATTACAGATTTTTGTTTGATTAGCACAATCTATTGTGGTAAGTATTTGAACATTGCATCTTATTGAAAAATGTTTTTTTTTTTTTTGTTTTTTTTTTATTTGAATGGATTTTGGAAAAATAGCCATTTTGTATTTTTTTTTAACTTGCCTGTCAAATCTTTTCACTGTCAGTCAGTCTGAAATTTTGGCAGTGTCTATGTTTGATTGTGTTTAATCTTAGGCAGGTAGTTGATTTTTGCTAAATAAATGTAGGAATTAGGAATCATGATGCCATAAAGTGTTATAAATATATAGATGAATGAACGTATGTATAAAGTCACAACCATATTAAATGTTTTTTGATACAATGAATGTATATTTATAATTATTAATAAATATGAATGAAAGTCCACTATCAGCTTCTCACGTCTTTTTTTTTTTACCGCTTTGCCGAAGAGTGCTTCATTTGGTCCCCCCGTCCTCGTAGGAGGGCGGACATTAGTTCTATTTTAGAGCTGAACTCAATTTAGTCAATCAAATTTAATCAGTTTCAGTTTTGTCCTTACAATGACAATCACTAGTATAATCTAACAAAACGCGTCTCGCTATCATTTTGAGGATTTTTTTTTTGTTAAACGACAGTCGCCCTACTACAGTGTACGCTGTAAAATAAAACGTATGCACCCAGATTACCCACATTGCACCGCATCTCGGCACGTCACTTCAGTGCTTCAGTGAAATTAGCTTTTCTCACGGGTGTACTGCTAAGCTAGGACATTAGCATCTTGTTTATGTGCACAGTAGGTTGAATAAACAACATTGTAAAGAATGGCTGGAAGCGCGGGAGAGTGGTGTCTGATGGAGAGTGACCCCGGGGTGTTTACAGAGCTGATAAAAGGTTTTGGTAAGAGACCCGTAGCTCAATGCTAGCTGCTCATTCAATGTAACGTGGCTATGCGACAGTGCTAGTTAGCTAGGTGCTCTACAGCTAACGGTAACTTCTAAATTAGCTACCATTGGCTACCAATGATTTCCCATGCAACGATAAAGAAAATACCATGGAGGATGGAAATAAGACAGTTTAGATGCTGTGCATTTTCAACAGCCATCTAAACGCTGCATTCTCCATAAAGTTGCATGTACTGATTGGGCAGTCTTTGCTAACTTAATTGGGCAAGCTAACTGGCTAGCATTACTCAGCGTTCAAAACAACGGCGCGTGAAAACAAATCGTCGCTCATGAATGATGACATTTGTTGTGCCGTAAAACCGACACCGAGAGAAGCAGCTCACAAACTTTTGTTATTGGACAGGTGTTTTCTTTTTACTGTTATTCAGTTATTCCAAGTGTGAATGAGTGTTTGATGCTTCACTTGTCATTGTCAGGCTGCAAAGGAGCCCAGGTTGAGGAGATATGGAGTATGGAGCCAGAGAACTTTGACAACCTGAAGTATGTTCATAGTGCAGCCTCATTACCTTAGCATGCTCCCTCTAAAGACTGGCGTTTTAATTTATGTGTTCTGTTCCAGACCAGTTCACGGCTTGATTTTCCTGTTCAAGTGGCAGCCAGGTGAAGAGCCAGCAGGATCAATTGTCCAGGATTCAAGACTTGACCACATCTTCTTTGCAAAACAGGCATGTTCTGCATTGTTATTTCAGAAAACATACACATTGAACTATTTACATAATAGCAACATATTGTTATTTTGTAACTGTAGTATAAGTAACTCTAAACAAGTTCATCACTATGTAGCAGCCTCTATCTGCTTCTGTACGTATTATTTTATACTTGGCTGGTTCTAAGTTTATGCAAAAGTGTGTCATTCCTGATCCATTTGACTCAGCATCTTACAGCTGAAATACAGTTCCAAAATTAAGTTAAAAAGTATTTTCTTGATTAACAGCTTGGTGTAAAACATTTTTAGGAAGTGCCCATTACAACTTCTTAAACGATAAATCAATTAGAAAAATATGGGGTGCATCAGATGGTAACACACTGGCCAGAACAAAAGAGAACTCTTAAGTGCAATTGCAAGACATTATCTTTAATGCTGACTTGTTCAGCCAAATTGAATAATGAATTAGATAATGAATTGACTGGGCCTATGACATTAAGGGCACACCCCATAACAAAATGTGAGTAGTCACACAAAGTGGGAGGAAGATCTTGCTCTTTATAGACAAGAGCATTAACATACTTTTGTCAGATTTTAAGCTCTGTTTGTTACAGATTTGCAGCAAATCATAAATTGTAATCTGTTGCCTCAAAATCTGATAATTCAATTTATGATACATGTTATGTGCCCTCTTTCTAAAGTCATTTTAAGCATAAATAAGGATTTTCCTTTGTCTGTCCAAGTAATTATTGTGTACTTGTCTATTTACAGGTCATTAACAATGCCTGCGCCACCCAGGCTATTGTCAGCGTTCTGCTCAACTGTTCCCATTCCGACATGTTGCTTGGAGACACACTGACAGAGTTCAGAGAGTTTTCACAGAGCTTTGACGCCGCTGTACGTAACCGTGGATTTTGTTTTGTGTGTGATTTAGTTCACGACTATGCAGCCTTTTTTATTAGGCTGTTGGTTTATTTGTTGCATGTTAACATGTATAAACCTTTCCATTTAAGTTCAGTCACCAACATTAGGCTAAAAATCTAACAGTAAGTGATTCATTATACTTTCTAAAAATAACATTTGTACTGCTTTCCCTTTTGAGCAGTAACTCACACACAGCTCACTGTAGTAATTTCCCCTTCTGTCTGTAACACTGACAGTTTTATCCTCTTACCTCTTAAAACCTTAGATGACTCAGTTGTCTGTCCCACAGATATTCAGGAGAACCAGGCTGTACTGATTTATGATGCTCGACTTCCTTGGTTTGGAGAATCTCAAATTTGCTAGTCATTGCGACTTTGTGTTATTTTAGACATGGCAGCAATTTGGGGGGGGGGCAAACCAGGCTGGGATTGTTGCATATTATAATCTGTATGTTTATTGGCTTGTTATAGAAACAACAAATAAGTCATTAATTTTAATAAGTAACTGTAATGTTTCTGAAATTGAAATACTGATTGGATGCTAAACCTTCTCGGAAGACAAATGTATAATTTCTTCCATGCAGTGCTTCATTGCAACACCAGCATCTTTTAATGTAGGGGTTATACCGTCAGCATTATAATAATGTATCTCCCACTCTCCTCAGATGAAGGGTTTGGCTCTTAGCAACTCTGAAGTGATCCGACAAGTTCACAACGGCTTTGCCAGGTAAGCTCCTGCTCATATCATATCCAGCTGGAGAGAGATTGGCTTCATGTTATTTTTAGCTTCTCATTCTAACTTGGAGGAAAGCGACTGGCCCATTTATCGCTAATGCACCAGTCTACCTTTGTGAAACATGCACATAAGAGGCTGGTTCATTTATTGGTCACTCGCAAAAGTTATTTGCTGTTGAGTAAATGGCCAAATTAAAACATGTTTTCGTCATGTAAAGCACTTCAACAAACTTCCCAAGTAACGAATGTAATTGAGGATAATAAATATTTAACATTCAATACATCACATGATATTCTTGGAGCTGAAATCATTTCCATTTCACCTCTTGTGCATTTGTTTTATTTTTTTTTGCAGACAGCAAATGTTTGAATTTGATGCAAAGTCCTCAGCAAAGGACGAGGACGCCTTTCACTTTGTGAGCTACGTTCCTGTAAACGGCAGACTATACGAGCTGGATGGACTTCGAGAGGGACCAATTGACCTGGGTAAGCAGAAAAATGTAATTTGTTATTTTTCTCTTATGGCTTTAAGGTTTCAGCAGCAAAAAACTGGCAGTTTAATGTGTGAAGTCCCTCGGTGTGAGGCCCTGCTGTGCAAAGCTGAAATTTTGTCTTGCTGGCCATGGACCATTTCCCCTAAAACTGTCCGTTTTTTATGATGATGTACAGTGTGTGCTTGCAGTCACTGTATCTGCGGACACCTGCAGTGTTATTTATTCCCGTCTGTTTTTTTTTTTTCTTCACCAGGTGCATGCAACCAGGATGACTGGATCAGCGCTGTTCGCCCAGTGATTGAGAAAAGAATACAGAAGTGAATATCTTACATTTATTATGAATTTACTTTTAGATTAACCGATGATTAAAGTGGAATTTTAATGCTGTAATTTTATCTTTTGCTTTTAAAACACTGAGCCGTGATGATTTTCTGTATGTTCAGGTTGGATTTAGACACTAGAAATGATTTAAAGTTAAGTAGTGGGCAGTCATGGTGACATTTCTCATCCGTTTCTTCTGGTTTATTGGCATATAGATTCAGATCGTATCATGCACAGATGATACTCTGTCTGTAAAATATTGACTTGTTTTTCTTCCAGCTAAATACTGCCTTGATTTCCTTACAGTGTATCACTCTGTTCTCACTGAACTTCTACTGTTTTCCTCCTCAGGTACAGTGAAGGCGAGATCCGATTCAACCTAATGGCCATCGTGTCTGACAGAAAGATGATATATGAGAGGAAAATCGCGGAGCTCCAGACTCAGCTTACTGAGGTGAGTGGCAGCGAAAGAGCTGGATTCAGTGCAGACATGAGAAAGAATCATTTATTATTTTGCTTTCTGCCTGGGAGGCCACATGTGAAATTCATCAGTTGTCAGTCTTTCAAAAAGTTCCAGATCATAGCTGTGGTGTGCTTTACTGGCTTCCCATGGGTCCTTTATATCCTTGAAAGTTTGTGAATTTGAGGGGGGAAAAAAATCAAAGCCTTGATGATTTTTGTAAATACTCATGAATAGACCTGGGTCATTGAAAGTGCTTGAATTTATATATTTTCTCTTCAGATTGTAAGTCTCTGTCTTTCAGTTTACACAATGTATTGTTTTGCTGCGTTACAGAAGGCAACAACACGGCTGAGAAGCGTTCAAAACTCTCTCTCTTTTTAATTGTTGTTTGTGAGCTTCTGTAAAGCTGCTAGTTCTCGGTATGAAAATTCTTGGTGTTGTAAAAGTAATTAACTTTGATCCGTGTCTCAAACTTTGCTGTGTTGGGTCCTTGAACTTGAGTTAACTGGGCCTTGAAAGTCCTTGACTTTGATGTTTAGGAAGGTGTGGGAACCCTGGCTTAAGCGCTGTGTTTTGTTTTCATCCACTCATCTGTTAGTTTTGTTCGTCAAGTCATATTTGTTCAACACACGTACAGTTACTCTGGTTTTTATAAAGTCCGGTGTAATGAGGCAATCATGTCCTGAGTTGCAACATTTAGAAAAAGACATGGATTGTTCCCGATGGAAGGAGTGATGACTGACTGAAAATGCCATCCATCCATCCATCCTCAGCCTTTTACCCAGGGTCGGATGGCGGTGGCAGCAGTCTAACAAAGCTAGTTCCAGCTCCTCCTGGGGGGTTCTGAGATGTTTTCAGGCCAGAAGAACAGAGAACAGGGAAAAGGCAGGGATTTTGAAAACCAGTGATGTATGTATGTTCAGGACAAAAGAGTTGGGGGGTTGGGAGATGGGATTTCTAATAATAACACAAGGAATATAAAGTATTTCACACATTTTCAGGGTTATATGAAAATGTACATCTTTTAGACATGTGTTGTACAGAGTAATAGTTTTCCACCCATCTGTAGTGGCCATCATTTGAAAGGTGTGGTCTGCATCGGGTGACACACCTGCATCATTATTCGGTGTTGTCAGAAATGCGCTCTGCTGCAAGTGTAGCCAATCACACCCTATAGTCAACATGTACTGATCACACCCTGAGCACACACCTGCATTACTGCTGCAAGGTTAAACCGTCAACCACTGGAGGCCAGCAAAAACAAGGTTTTCAAATGGTATGTCAGATGTGATTAACTAAAGTGTGGAACTTTATTTCTTGATACCACTTTTTAATATACATTGGAAGTCCTAATTTGACAAAGCCAAGCAATTGAATTAATATTGGGATTACTCGAGTGGCTTGAGTTTAATCAACATAAGCATCACCAAATGTCCCCTCACCAGAATGCTGAAGTTTTTATTTTTCTATCCTATCTTCTATTCCAACTAGTCAGGATGCATCGTGGATATATAGAAACCTTTTTTTCCCCCCCTTCTCTTCCCAGGACGAGCCAATGGATACAGACCAGAGCAGCACGTTTCTTAGCTCCATCCAGTCAGAAATTGCCAAGTACCAGCTCCTTATTGAAGAGGAAAATCAGAAACTTAAAAGATATAAGGTGGGTTTCTCCTCAACATTACATTCCCTATTATTACAGGCTGCTTTTCATGCCACATTCTTTGTGGCAGAAGTACAGGGAAATGGCTCAAAAGGCTACAGTACAATTTTAGTCTCTGCATTATAAATGTAGAGACTGTGTTTACTGCAATGTTTTTCTGCCACCTCTGAATGTACTTTAGCCACAGAGGTTTTGTACATTTCCACCCTTCCACCACATTAGTCTCACCCAGTTTTTCCTCTTGGATTTATGTATTATGTTCTTACAGATTGAAAACATTCGACGAAAGCACAACTACCTTCCTTTCATCATGGAGCTACTGAAGACGCTGGCAGAGTATCAGCAGTTAATACCTTTGGTGGAGAAGGTAATTTTTTTTTTTTTTTTTCTATTTTATTACTGTGCCTTTCCACAGCCCTATTTGCTTTCAGAGCACGAGTGACAGGGAAGACCTTTAGATTTTGAAACATGGTTGGATATTTCTCTTTATTAAAACATGCACATTATTTTTAATGATCTTGGCTCATTTAGATCGCCGATACATTTTTTGTAGGGACATTGATGGACAAATAATGAAAGACTGGTCAATGTCAACAGTTACAGGGAAGAAAAGGGATTTAAAAACATAATGAAATTAATCCCAAAAAAAAACAGCATTTCCATGTTTGATCCGTCCACTAGATGGCAGACGTAATGTCTCACAAACATAGCATGTTGTGCCTAGTCCATGAATGTGACTTTGAAGTTGTTTTTGTTTTTACACAGCAGTTACAATTAAATGTCTGATATGTGTGTCCATATTTGGTGATTAGATTTTGTATTTTTTGCTGATTTCTGTGTACATGAGGGATACTAATGAAGATTTCTCTGGGCTTGTCTCACCAGGCAAAGGAGAAACAGAGCGCAAAAAAAGCCCAGGAGGCCAAGTGAACAACAACAACAACAACACCACCACCACCACCACCACCACCACACTTCCAACAGAGAAGCCTCCAATTACACACACGGACACATTGAAAACCCCACAGTCACTCTTTCATCAGTGAGCCACATACAGATACTGTACATCATTTGTCATATTCATATTAATGACCATGGATGGTCCACAGCACTTCCTCACTGTGGCATCCCGTGAACCATCCAGACATTATGAACTGCACTGCAGGTGTAGCAGAGAGACTGTCGGCAAAACACTGTCTTCATGTGTGTCCATCAGCTCTATTGCATGATTGAAGGAAATATGTGCTCAAATTATGTCTGTCTTATTTTCATAATAAAATGTTTAGATGTTTGTGAATTGTTTGATTCTGCGGACAGACTTTGAAAACAAATGCTTTCTTTTTGACATATCATTCAATTTATAGATTTGTCTCCAGATATTTTTTTTTTTTTTTCTATAAATGCTGTTCACTGCAGTTCACAGACTTAGTGGTAGATCTTTGCCACCACCTACTGGTGCAGCAGAGGAATGAGAATTGTTTATGGTACACTACAAAAAGTCATCTGATAAACTTTCTCTGAGCATCGAGAATTAACTAGTGAAGCTACAGAATCTGTTGGGTGAGATAAATACCAAACCCTTTAAAAACCTATTCCAACAATCTAACATTGAGATGTGTTTATTAGATCATCTGACCCGATGAGAGCACAGTAACAAGCTGCCAAGTCCTTATAAGTGCATCATTAAGAAAGGGCTGGTACAAATTTAGTGACTCGTGTGTTTTTTGGATGGCTTCCCGTAGCAGTATGTTGAGTTTTTGAACATGGCAGTTTGAAGTAGCCTCTGTCATTTGTCCTGTAAGTCAACTTCTGGCTTGTACTATACAAAGACGGCATACTTTGCTGACTTGCGGGTCACACTTGTACACAGAGTGTGTGTCTAAAGGCCTGTATAGTCTGACGTATCTGCAGTCTCCCAACCAAAGTAGAACGTGGCCCCTTTCTATTTCTGGCTTTTGTGTTTACATACACACCTTAAGTACTCCTTGGATCTGATCCCAGTCGTCTGTTGCCAAGATCCTTCATGGCAACAAATGAAAACCCACAGGTTTTACTACCAGCTCATAGAGACAGAACAGTCTGTCTGTTGTATTATCCTATCTGATGGCAGGCCACATGGATGAGCAAACAAAAAGTATTCGCGGCAACTGTGCCAGTTCTTCAGGTACTACCTCACCATACAGGCTTTATCACTGAACATAACACATCTTGTCTTTCAATCGACATTGTATCCTTGTTGTTTGGCTTAGGTCACATGACATAGAATGTATGGCGTGGTAGGCGGATGCTGGTGCAGATGCTACGAAAAGAATTAAGGCTTAAAAATAGCCAAAGACTGCTGCGTAATGGAATGTGTGCTGCGTAGGCCTACTTTGAAGGTCAAGGAAAGTTTATTTGTACAGCTTATTATCACATCCAGTGTCTCAAAGGGCTTTGGAGGCCCATAAAAGCAGTGGTTCCAAACCCAGACAACGAACAGTCCTTAAAAAATAACATTAGCATTAGAGCTGCAACTAATAATTTTTTTTGCTGTTGATTTTTTAAATCGTTTAGTCTACCCAAGATGGGCTTAAATTGCTTGTTTTTTTTCTTTGAACAGCGGTCCAAAACCCAAAGGCGTTTAATTTTGCTACTGTTATTTTTGATATCATTTTAAAGTCAAGAAGCTGGAGCCAGCGAATGTTTGGCATTTTATGCTGATAAGGAGGATTAATAGGTTTTTATAATTAGCATTTACAGAAAAAATAAATAAATGGAAGAAACCTTGGGAGAGGCAATTCAAAGACAAATCCCCTCTCCTTCAACTATCAACTATGCAGTAGGTGTTGAAAAGACAAACAGAAATGAAAATGAAGTGAAAACAAGTTCATATAAAATGCCCATGAAGTGCTTATAATCCAAATAAAACCAAGAGTATAGAGTCATGCTAGTAGCTCTCGGAGCTTGTACTTAGGTACAGCAGTATTTTGAGCTAAGTGCTAACATCAGCATGCTGATATACAAACTGAAATTTAGCAGATATAATAATTACCATGGAAGCTATCTTAGCTTAGCTTATTTGCATGCAAATATATGCCAATAGTCTTTAAACAGTATCTGAAGCCGGCTACGGCTGGCTGACGGGAGTGTCATTAGTTTTGCAGGTATTTGGTAACAAACCAAAGTATTGGACATTTTGACATGATAATGGAACTATGATAAGATAAGGGTTCACCAAAAGTTAATACAGTTTATCCTGAGGGGGAACATGAGTGTCTGTAGTAAATTTCAAAGCAGTCCACCAAGTAGCTGCCAAAACATTTCATTTAACACACAGTTAGTGTGTTAAGTGAGATCACCACAGAGTCAGGAGATCACCATGGTCAGTGGTGATCTCCTGACTCCTGACCTAAATCTCCTGATTTCATGCCAATTCATCCAATAGTTATTTCACTGTGGAGCCAACGAGATGGACAAACCAGCTGACCATTGCCATCCCTAGGGCCATTCTGCTTATAATAATTCCAGTACTAAAGTAAATAACTCTTTATTAGTACAGTTACATGCTTTTCCTGCCAGTATGGGTTTCAAAACCGTTCATGTTCAGATCACAAATCTACGTGCTCCTGTAACCTGTAGGCCAGCCAGCGGTGCATACAGTTCTGGAGAGCTGCTGGTGTAAAAGATGATCTCATTACACCACGACAGCAGGCCACAGGTCTGAGGAGGGAGCGGGAGCTGTCAGCTTTGTCAGGAGCAATGTCCGGGTGTCTGGCCACTGTCAGGCTCCGCTATGAGTTCACGGCTGGAAACAGCCCCGGTATCAGAGAGCAGATGCACAGCAAGCAGAGGAGGACTCTCTGCTGTCAGTCAAGGTGTCTCTTCTTCTGTACAGGGGCCAGAGTTACAGTATTACAACGCAGCTGTGATGACGTGACCCCTACTGGCTGCACAAAGAGGAATACAATGTTCTAATACGATGAGGAATTTTGTTTTTGTTTGTGCAGTGTAACATCCAGCACATTGTCTCTGGGAATATGTCAGTGTACAGTATGTAGATGTGTCTGACCTTTTTGTTTAACCAAAGACCCGAAGTGCACGGCATTTCTCTTAAACTATTTCCAGTTTGGACATTGTAGACAAACAATAATTAGCTGTCAGAGAATACATATTGTTCTCTCTCTCTAGAGAATATATTTCAAAACATTGCTTCACTGTGCTTCAGTAATGGATTTTAGGACTGTTTGAAGCACAAAGTAGCCTGTGTTGGCACTGTCTACAACAAGGAATTAACATTGGATATGTAAAAGCGTGTCAAAGTGACATGCTCACAATTAATCACCACCCAGCTCAGGTGTTCTTTTTTGCTCTACTAAGCGTTTTAGCATCTTTCAGCCCATTGCTTTGCTTTTATGGCCCATAGTTTAACTGTTTCAATTTACTCTCATCACTCTCAGAATTTTTTCAGCAAAAAAACCCACAAAAAAATCCACACTACAATTCCTGTACATCACCAACCAACACACAGATAATTTAGCTAAACCTCCAGGTCTGTAAAGTGAAGCACTGCCAAATACTGCAGTTCCTTGAACCTGGCTCCAAAAGTGATTCAATCCCCATATACTGTCATGTTAAAATGTTCAACTTTTCAGCAGAAATAAACATGTTTACAGCCTGGTACAAAAAACAATTTTGGTCTTAATAGCCAATTTCCCTCTCCATGACAACTGTACAAGGCGTGAGTTCTTGTATAAGTCACTGAAAGCTATGTATAATTGAGGGCGTGGCCACTGTGAATGACAGGAAGGTGCCATCACAGTTGCTAGATGTCTAGCCACTAGCTTCCTGCTCAGCATTGCCTCAGCATTTTTGGAGGATTTTCCATGCAAACATCAGACAGAAATTCTAGTAGTAGTGCTAATTAGCAGGTATTGGTGTCTGTGCCCACCATACCTAAGCTTGTTTGCTTAGCCCGTTAACTAATTAGCCAGTAAAATTAGTTAGCCTTGGGTTAGTCTTCAAGCAAGACGCCCACACTCAGCTCTGCTAATGACGCTAACAGAAGCGTATGCACTGAAGTGCTCCACACATACCCCACCTCATGCCCATTTTTGGATTACATTTGAGTTAGGTGGACCCATGCACTGCCAAGATGTGGGTGGCGGAGCAGCCCACTCTGAGCCCCAAAACCGCTCTTCAGAAACCTATCGGTGACATCACAGAGTCTATGTCCATTTTTATGGTCTAATTTAATTTCTAACACACATTTAACTACTGAAGATAGTGAAGATTTTAGCAGCCAAAGAGACAGATATTTCCTGGAGAAGAAAAAAACAGTTAAAACGATCAGTTAGATGTGTAGATGTGTTTGCTAGCATGCTAACCATATCAACTTCAAAGGTGATAATATGTACATTTTCAGTTGATGGAAGTTCAAGTTAATTAAGTGTTAAATATTCACTTTAGCAGTAATAGATATTTGGAGATTCATATGTAGCTTTGACAAAATCAAGAAATGATTTCCTTGATAAAGGCTGAGATGTGGCTGAACGTTTTCAAGCTATTAAGTGGACCTTTGAGTTTACATTATTTTGGTTACACACATTTTTTCCAAAGATCACTAGGGAACTTTCATGCCCAAAAAAGTATTTTTCTTTGAATTTTGAAATAAATGCATCAGAGATATTTTAGTGCTGAAGAATACAATTTATTTCTTAAGCAGTCCAGCTGCCCCAAACTTAAAATTCACATTCAACATGTCATGCAGCATCACAATATTTACAATAAATAACATTGTCACAGTCACTTAAGGCCAAGAACAGTCTAAAGTGGAAATTTTTTATAAATTAAAATTGCACTTTTTGTGTAAACTCATGCAAAACCAGCAGAATATTATGGCAATGAAAATCAGGTTCACATGGGAGGTCCTGTGTATATCTGTGACTTTGTACAGCATAAAATACATTCTAACAGCATTGTCGGATATAGATACAGAGCTAAATGTAAAGACTTCTTCTCATTCTTTGAACGCTGTTGTTTTCTTTAACTGTATCATTCCTCAAAATATTGCAATCTAATAGCATAGTAAAGACAGTGCAGGTAATGGTCCAGTGAAGAAAACATAGCCTTAATCCCATCTGGTTGAAACGCTGTGTACTGCCTACAGCAGCAAAAAGCATCCAGCACAATCGTCCCAACTTCATTCATTGTTGAAAGCTGTCAGCAGGACGGACTGAAAATGGCTTCAGTTTTGCATTTTCCACACTTGCTGTTAATGTTTATGCTCAGGATTTGCATTCAGGTCTATTATCCCGAGGCAGTGCCTGGACTGAACATCATCAGTGGTCTATTCACACAGTCACACCGGTAAACAAATGACTTCAGGAGTGGGTGTCTAGTTTGACTAGGACTTAATGTGCTTGCCCTCTCCCCTGGCAGCTACACACAGTTCTTTGTAGAGGTCGGAGTGGATAAACCTGGGGTAGGAGTTGTTCTCCATCAGACTGTAGACTTTTCTCTGAGCTGCCAGGAAGCTAGTCGTGGTGGGCTCGTGGAGGCTCTGGACGATAGCATTTCTGGTGTGGAAATCCAGGTTTATCTGAACAAAGAGAAACATCCAGAATGAGTCCTTGACATCCACTTTAACTACAGAATATCTTGTGTACTTGATAAAACTTGAAAGTACATAAATTTTGATTAAAATTAGTCTGAAGAAACTAATCAGAGAACACATTTATTTGGATTTACGGCAATACATTTATAGTGTTTATGCATATTTCAAAGGCATCTGTTAGCTGTTACCTCCTTGGGAGCTTCACTTTTAATGAACTCCTCGTAAATGCTGTTGGCCTTGGACGCCATCTCTGTGTGTGTTGTGAGTGTGCTGAAGTCCTCACATGCTGTCCAAAACTCTATGTTCTCTTCGCAGAACTCTGACTTCAAGAAGATACAAAAGGCAGCTTTCCCATCTGCAGGAGGTGGGGTAGAGAGAAGGAGAGAGAGGGGGGAGAAATATTAAAGACAAGGCCACTAAAATAAGCCGTGTGACACACCCACTTGCTGTTTGCCCATTAATGAAAGGTATGGCAAGCACAGAGACATTACAGCCTTTGTTTTATTGACGCCAATAAACCACTTCCGTTCAGCACACAGCTGACCGTGTGACCTTTTGAGACAATTTTTATGTAATCATGTAGCAATAGTGCAGTGAATGATACTTACATTTATGGCTGAGTAGTTTCTCAAGTGACTGCGCCCATTGGTTCACGTCATCAGCAGATGGCCTGACGGAAGAGAGCAGTGATTGTATAAGAGATAATTATAGTAGGAGCAACTACTTCCTTCACAAACTGTTTATCGTAGTAGGGTATTGCTAAAAATAAATACTATATTGCAATACAGTATTTTGCTATACAGTAAGACAATTTGAATCCTGTTTTATTATTTCATTATTCATTATTCATTATTATTTTATTTCATAAAATCATAAAATTTGGTTTGGTAATAACACATTATACACATAGCATACATACAGAAGTAGACAATATGAAAGAGTGTGGATTACGGCTAGGTAAAGATAAAAAATGAAATTGAGTCATTAGATATAAAACTTGAGACTAGGCTATCTAACTTTAAACTATAAAAAATGAATTGATTTACATAAAATGAAATGCATTTCAGTTGAACTAAATTGACTATGACGAGCATGAAGCACAAACTACATGTTATATGTATGCACACAAAGTGGGATCTTATGCATAATCATGAGCTTTTCATCCTCAAAATACAAAAAAAAAAAAAAAAAAAAAAAAAAAAAAAAGGCAGTGCCCTACCTGTAGGATCTGTTTTTCATCAGACGTAATACTGACTTGGAAGAGTTTGTCTTCAGGAGAAATCTTATTCTGTTTCTCCAGTTTTTCCTCCTGTAAAAAAAAAAAGACAGACTTCACCTGTCAGTGCTTTGTGGCAGTGCAAATTCTCAATAATGTATTTTACAAGGCCATCACAACCAGGAACATCCCTATCAAACACCATATATACTTACTTCATCCCCTTCTTCTCTGCGAGCAGGTCAGTGGGTGTCAAACAGTCTGGGAACGCCATGCTTTGGTATGACACACCAGTAAGGTTCTCTCTCATGGTTCAGTCTCCTCTTCTGCTCCCTCTTGATTTGTCAGGCAACTTTATAGTTTCTCTCCAGCCGTGGTCCGGAGTGTGACAGTCTGGAGGCGGGCCTGGAATGACAGGTCTTTACAGTGATTGGCTCTTGCTGTGTAAACAGTGACTTACCCTGGTATGACTCTCTGGACCTGAGGCAATGATAGGCTGTTGCTGCATAAACATTCCTTCCTCGTGTATTCTGTTGGCTTTCCACTTTTAAACGTAAGGTCAAGATGTGACGTTCAAGGCAGACTCGATGCCCTTATTCCTAAAATACAGTTCTGTTGAGGAGTTATGGAACTTTTCTCCACTTTCTTGTGTGTTTTTTTTAAATCTTGAAAGCATTTTACAAACAGCAGCTGCACAAACACATTCACAGAGCAATCGGGGCATTCATACTTTTACTTTACACCTATTTTACCTATTTGAAAACAAAGTATCCTCTTAAATGGAAGTAACACAACAACACAGCACACACCACGTACAGCATGTTTAGCCATAAAACTGCCTGCTAGCCCTAACATGTGACAATTTCCAATGCACAATTGATTCACTGTGACTTTGCAACACTACCTGCAATGATCCTGTTCATTGGATTACTCACCCAGGGTGTGGATTTGTGAAGCATTGTGTCACAATGGCAGGTCAAGGTATAACAGTGGTTCAGAGATGATGATGGTGCAATATCCTGTTACCTCTATAGGTCATTTAAAAAAAAAAAGAATGTGGGAACTGCTGAACCTAATTCCTATCATATTAACTTCACTTTATTAAAACAACTTGTAGTTACGTCCAACCGTGTTTTGTTTGTCAAAAGATTTCCATTCATCCAGGTGAAAACTTTTAGAAGCATTTAAAATGCATTCAAGGACCATATTTCATTTCAAATTAACAGTGAGGACCTGCCTCTCAAATGTGGTTCAGTCAGTCAGAGACTGACCATTTATAGCAAAGGTTTATACAGTTAAATTTAGAAGATAAGGCTGTTTTTTTGTTTTTTTTTTGTTGTTTTTCTTTTTTTTTTGAGCGAGCTCTTGAAGAATCAGCAATGAGGTGCTGCTAGGCGAACTGATCCCTCAAACACGTGCACGGACATAAGATCTTATTAAAGTCAACAATACCAAAAGGCTTCAGGAGGAGGCTGGAGGAAAAGCTACAGCAGGAGCTTCACTGGCACGAGCCCGTCAGCAGTCATAATACAAATTTTTCTGGTTATCTATCAAGTCCGCCTTGCACACCTGAATGGATGTCACCGGTCTCTTGGCTGTATAGTTTAAGCAGCATTGATGTTTTTGCCCACTGGATGCCTAAAGAACTTCAAAACAACCTGAAAAACATCACCAATTATCACCAACGCTCTTTTAGCTAACGAAGGCTCTGTGCAACATTAGCATTTTTAGCATTGAGGTGAATATTAGCCCGATGTCCACTTGCTTTTTAGCTCTGTTCTTGGTCTCTACCAACTCCTGCGAAAATTATATGACTTTTTAGACGACTCAGCCGTTTTCAGCAGTTTTGTGCTGGACAGGAAGCAATCGTTTGTTTCATCAGACATCTTTTCTTTTCTTTTTTGTCTAAAAATAGCCACCCGCTGCTGGAGATGGATTCGATAAGAGCACAATTTGTGGACCAGAAAAGCAAACAATGCGTCAGAAGCTTATCACTACACGTGACATCTCCCACTTTACCATTGATCGATTTGTAATGTAAAAATACTGATTAATCAACCGAAATCTATGTAATAATACAGTTTCATCGTGTGGATTTAGCATTGCTTTAATCTATATAATGCAAAGTGCTGGGTTATTAGGACGTGGTCTTTTGCTGCAAATGTTTGCTACCTCACCCTGTCCCTGAATGTCAGCTGTCTAAGATCTACTCTTTAATACATAATAGGCGAGTTCACACTGATTGAAGCTTCATAGGAACGTGCCAGATCTCATGCACCTAGCTGATTATCTTTGTTATGTGCAATACACTCTGTTGCTTTCCATTCTTTCTTTCCTTTTTTTTTTTTTTTTGCAAATGTAGCAGGGTGTCAAATGAATGAAATGCGTAATCTTTGGGCTAAACCTGCAGGTCCGGTTTGTTATGCACAGTGTGGATGAGTAACTCACACTACATTCATTTGGCACATTCCCTGCCATGTTTCCACTGAGTCATTGTATGCAAAGCTGCAGTCATGAAAATATTTGACATTCTGTTATAGGAACAATTTGTCTGCATGACACTTCAATGGAAAAATAAACACAAAAAAATTATCAAAAATAACTCAGTCTGTGTTGATAAAGAGAGGTTAAACATGCAGTATGAAGTTTAACTTAGCAAATAATAGTTAATTTTAAAAAAAAAAGTAAAGTAAAAATGCAACACATGATGGATGCATGCTTTCTCCGGTTAGTTAAAGAGGGTGTTTGTCAGCTAAAAACTGAATAACACTGCCTGAGAAAGTTACCATTTCAGCACAGTGAAGTCCTTATTCCAATAACAATGTGTGCTGACATCATCATATCCCAGAAACACCAAAAGGGCACAGGACAGGACACACAGATGTACAGAAAAATCACATTATGTCCTAGATCATCTGGGCCATAATGCATCTGCGTCACCTGCTGCGTTGTGTTGTGATTCTCGTTCTCTCTGTTGCACCAGTTTGGAGATATACTGGGTGAAAACACGGTGTTCACCTCATGTGTTTATTATGATGTGCAGACTGTGTGTAAGCAGCCGTCTGTTTAGAAGTGGATGAAGACCAGAGCCAAGTTTCCACTAAGGCATGAAGTCCGTCCGGAGGGCCTTACGCAGAAGGTGATTCCCAGCACTGGCTTGCAGAGTTTGTCCTCTTTGTGTTTGGAAGTTTCGGTATTCATAAAACCCAGCTGCACTCTTAACCTGTCTATGGGGTTATGTTCTCTGCTCAGCTGCTATTGGTACAAAAAACACAGTTATCACAAAGCTTCAAGTACTGTAAAAAAAAAAAAAGAAAAAAAAAAAAAATGGACGTGCACAACATCACAGATGTTAAAAGAGAGGCCACCAGCATGATTTTTAGAATGAGGACATATGTGCAAGGCAGTGGAGTTAATAACCAACACAATCAGTGTGTATATACACACCTGTCAGTCACAACATTAACGCTAAGCCGGTTTCAATGTTGTGGCTGAACTACAGAGTGTAGAAAATACCCACATTAACCGTTTTGGCCGCTGCGCGTGCACTCGGCCCCAAAACAATCAGGAGGTGAGAAGAAATTCAAGAAAAGCAACGGGTAGAAACCTCTCTGTCAGTGACTTTCCATTTTGGCAGCAAAGTCTGCAACTCATGATTAAAAGTTCAACTTATAAACGTGGGATAAAAACCCCAACAAGACAGCTGCATGCATGGTCTGCAAACCAACACAAGTTCCTCTCACCTTGAATCCAGGTCAGAGCTGTGTGGGAAGCTCCGACACACCTGCTTTAACTTGAATATCTATTAGGATTAACTGAGCGGGACAGTTGAAATCAACTGTAACTGAATATTTATTTAATATTCATAACTGATGAGATAATTAAATCAATCAATGCAATTTACTTTATTTTTGGTTTTTCATTTATTCATTTTGACAGTGGCTCAGATATTCAGAGGTGGTGCTTTAGGATCTTACTAGATAAGTCTTCATTGCACAATGCAATTCTAAGTATGTTTTAAGTATGTAGCGATAGATACCCATATATGCAAATATGTATACAGAATTTGTGTGAGTGTTGACCCCGTTGTCCCACACTGGACGATGCACAAGGGAATTTAATGAAAGTTAAATAGAGGGTGGGGAATCAGCTCCAGGAAGATGAAAGGAAAAACACAAGGACAGAATTAAGTCTTTGAAGTTGGTGTCTTTCTTTAAGTTTAACTGCCTTTGTTATCCTAAACTCGGAGTTGGACTGATGCCCACAGGCACATGTATCATTTCCTGTTAGTACAAATCAGTATAGTACATTCATTTCTCGTATTAGTGTGGAATAGGGACACATCTAACGTGTTTCCTCATTCAGCTAAAGGAAGAGATTGTGCAGTTCAGCCAGTGGAGTGTTCTGCGCCTGTGTCCTCATTAGCATAGTTGTTGTTGTGTGTCAATTGAACTGCTGACCATGCTACGAGTGTGTGTCATTGCACTGGTAATGTGAGGGGTTGATGTCATAATGACCTAAGTGCTATTTCCTCCTGGCCTCCTCCTGTGTACATGTACACTGAGACCAGCAGCGGTGAAAAGCTGTGTTTTGTCATTTGACTGTCACCAGTCTTTCCTGTATTTTACAGCGTCGGTCAGGTTAAGACAGGAGCAGTAGATTGCCCCGGGGTAATACTAGGTTCTGGGATGGCAACAGCATCTCCATGGTGACGGACACATGCTCTGTTATGTTTCCTTGGTGTCACATTCAGGGGCCACTTCCTTCGGAGGACGTGAATGCCGAACCGAACCAGCTGTGCCCGCTTTTACCATTGCGTCACAAAGTGCCGCTCCTGTTTCGTAGCAACCCTGACCTTAACTGTCTTACAGTGAACCGTCAACTGGGCTTAAACCCAACACTTACATTTAAAAGTGTAATCCCCTAGCTTTCTTTGCTGCCATATTATTATCATTATCATTATTTATCCGTTGGGGCCCAGGAAAAGAAGGTTGCATTTTTATGGCGCCTTCGAAATGCGACAGCCAAGTAGCACCGAGGTCTTAAATTACAGCCGCCGAAGGATACGGCCCCTGAATTGGGACGCAGTTATTGTGACATTGTTTTATTAGAAGCAGAGCCCTCAAACCTTGTCACCACAATCTCTGACTTGGTGAATGCAGAATCACATCACCAACCGTACACTGGCCCAACTGTACAAAAAGAGTTTCCTGCCCACCCTTAACTATACTGTTAGGAAATATGATTATTGTTTTCTTGCCAAGGGTTATATAAGAAGATTGATACCACTCTCGCAACGTTATGCTAAGCTGAGCTAATCGTCT